GAAAACCATGGGGCAGGGTTAAACCTTTGTAAAACACTGAACTGATTGGCGATCGCTAAAACGAGATTTGAAAGCAACTCAAATAAAAGATCGCGACGTCAGTAAACACATCTAGAAAAAAAAAGCTAGTGACAAACCCAGGGAGAGAGCTCTGGGCTTGAGAGAGAGAGAGAGAGAGAGAGAGAGAGAGACTTAAAAGAAATAGGAGGGGCTTGCGAGAGACTAGAAATGTCAATCAGAGCCCGGAGTCCCAATAATCTCAGGCAATCTGTTAGGACCTGACCTAGGTCCACTCAGATCAATAGGAAAAGTGAGAGAAGAAAGAAGCGATCGGATCGTTTACAGCAGCGGGCAGAGAGAGGAGGAAGCCCACGGCCTTTTGAACACCCCTCTCTTCCCCTCCCCCCCACCCTGGTCTGCAAGAGTTTGCGGAAGGCACTGAAAAGTGCAGACAGCCAGAAAGGGCGAGCAAGCCAGCTCCCTCCTCTCCTGCAGCCCTTCTACTTTCTCTCCTTTCTCTCTCTCCTTTTCTCTTCCCCCCTCTCCTCCTTTCCCCCCTCCCCTGCCCCCCTCTCCCCACCATGTCTTTCCCCCAGCTGGGCTACCAGTATATCAGGCCGATTTACCCCTCTGATCGGCAGGGGAGCGGCGGCTCCCGAAGCGGGACGGAGCTCACCCCGTCCGGGGCGCTCTCTAACGTGCTCTCCTCCATGTACGGAGCGCCCTACGCGGCGGCGGCGGCAGCTCAAGGATACGGGGCTTTCCTGCCTTACACCGCCGAGCTCCCCATCTTCCCGCAGCTGGTAAGGACCACACAGACCCCCTCGCTCCTTCCCGCGCCCCCCGCCCTCCCCGCGGTGCCTTCAGGGGGCTGGTTTTTGTTTCCCAACCCGCTTGACTTTGGCCTTTGTAGAAGCGAGAGCAGGGGGAGCGGGGCTGGGAGCGGGTCTCCCCGCTTACCTCCGGGGTCCTGCCGCAGGGGCAGCCCGGGGAGCAGGGGGCTCCTGGGCATTGATTCGGATTGTTTCCCGGCGGATTCCCACGGGGCTGGGGGGGAACGGAGTTCAACCCCGTTTGCCCGCTGACCGCCCTGGGAGCGGCGCAGGAAGGAGCGGGCGCGGGTGGGAAGGGGGAGCAGGTAAGAGCGGGCAGGCCGGGGAAGTTTCCCCCGCGCGGAAGGGAGCGGGGAGTCTGCTCCGGGTTATCCCCTCGCCGCCTCCTCGGGCAGGGGCTTCGCTCCTGTCTACGCGCAGGGCTTGTTGGGGGGGGAGGCTGCAAAAATATAACATGAAATAACCCACCCCAAACAGGCGGGGTTGGGGGGGGGGGGTAACGGACAGTCCGGGCTGTGCTGCTGTGGCTCTCGGAACGGCTCTGCCAGTGTTTATAAACACGGCACGTCACATCGGAGTTGCTGGCCCGCACGCACCGGCCGGGCTTCAGGGCTTGGGTCCCGTCCCGTCCCGTCCCGTCCCCCCTCCGCACTACACGAGTCTGTGCCGAACTGGCCTGAAGGTGTGGAGCAAACCCCCCCGTTCCCCCCTGCGGGGAAGGGGTCGGGGTCCAGGACAGCGCTCCAGCAGCCCGGCGGGGGGATGGAGGGGTGGTTGCACCCTAAAGGGGGATGCCCCGTGCCCGGAATAAGCCCCCGAGCCCCCGCCCTGACCTGCTCTCGTCTCCTTTCTCCGTGCGGCTCCAGGGCGCCCAGTACGAGCTGAAGGACGGCCCGGGAGTGCAGCACCCCGCCTTCCCGCACCACCACCCCGCCTTCTACCCCTACGGGCAGTACCAGTTCGGGGACCCGTCGCGGCCCAAGAACGCCACCCGCGAGAGCACCAGCACGCTCAAGGCCTGGCTTAACGAGCACCGCAAGAACCCCTACCCCACCAAGGGCGAGAAGATCATGCTGGCCATCATCACCAAGATGACCCTCACGCAGGTCTCCACCTGGTTCGCCAACGCCCGGAGGCGGCTCAAAAAGGAGAATAAAATGACCTGGGCCCCCCGCAGCCGTACGGACGAGGAGGGCAACTCCTACGGCAGCGACCACGAGGGGGAAGAGGACAAGCGGGAGGACGAGGAGGAGATCGACCTGGAGAACATCGACACCGAGAACATCGAGAGCCACAAGGACGAGCTGGAGGACGAGCTGCAGGACGCCGACCTGCTGCACTCAGACGCCAAGACGGACTCCGAGGGCTCCGACGGCTTCGAGGACCTGCCCGGCGCGGACGAGCGCTTCCTCAAGGCCGTGGAGC